GGAATGAAGGAATGAAGTGACAATGGGATGGGTGTGTGTGTGTGTGCACGTGTGTGTGCCTGTGTGTCTGGGGAATGAAGGAATGAAGTGACAATGGGAAGGAACAGGACATGTCAAGCTAAGGGAGAGTTTTCTTAACACACTGCGGACCAGGGGTTTTATCGCTAGCTGGACCGAGTGGCCAGATAAGTTTCTATGGAACGAGTACAAAAAGCGTTTTACATAAATGTTAAAGGCACGCTTTAAAATTAAATACCCGTTGCATTTGGAAGTTATTTATTGCATGTTCTTACAAGCTAATATCTTTTTAAAGTCTGATACTCTGTAAATCAGTGTCATATGAAGCGAGAATTCTCATGATCCGTCCGCAATATGTTAAATGTCTTCTGCTCCAAGGTAGGGATGGCTATGCTAATTAGCACGATTGTGGCGATGATCATCTCAAAACACCACCTCCGCGTGGAGATGGAAAGAATGAAATTGCGGGGGCGGGGGGGGGGGCACTCACCCTTGCGGAACGACGGGCCACGCCTCGGTGGCCTCATCTTCGGGGAAGATCTCCCTGACATCCATCTGAATTTCCCGAAGGCGCCGGCAGTGCTGGAGGCAGAAGGAGGACACGTTCAGGTCCATGGGCCGGTTCACCGTCAGCCTCACTTCCCGGAAGCCGCTCAACGCCAAACGGACAAACTCTTCGTCTTGGGTCTCGAAGAGACAGTAGAAGGAGTCCAGGAAGTCCAGCGGGGAGGTGGTGGCGGCCTGCTGACCCAACAGGGAGACCCACTGGAGCAGCACCCGCCTCACCACCAGGGCCATGGGACACCCCAGCAGGTCCTCCAGGGCCCGCACCACCTCTTTGTTCATGAAGCCAAACAAGAAACGTTTCATCTGCAGCACGTGGACGTTGAAGCTGACCTGCTTGAGCTCCTTCAGACTCTTGGAATTCTCAATGCACAGAGCGTGGGGCTCCCACTCGGCTTCCAGGCCTTCCAGGACGTAGTACAGGGCCGCGTAGAACTCCTGCAGGCTCGGGTGCAGGAACGTGAAGCACCGCTCCCCCTGGCTGTCCCGCAGGAGGATGTACTTGTGAAACAGCACGGAGAGCTCCGGCTCCGTCAGTCCGTGAATGCCCAGGTCATCGCTGTAGAACACGAACTTCCTGGCCCACATGCCCTGCACGGCCATCCGGCACAGGCCCTTCAGCACCACTCGTTCGTCCGGACTGAGGCAGCATCCCGGGCCATCTCGAGGGGCGAGCTGATGGACCACGAAGGTGACGTACAAGCCCGTGAGGACCTGGCAGGTAGGGGGCAGGCCCTTCCCTGAGGACGTCTGTAGCTCAAGAGCCCGGCAGAGCAGCCACCACGTGACGGACACCTGGCACCTATCAATCAGCACGTGGTTGTCCAGCACCGAGTGCAGGACCTGCGTTTTCTGGTCCTCGTTCTTGACGTGCTTGAGGAACACCTGGATCCTTTTCTCCATCGAGATTCCTTCAATGAAGAGGTAGCGGGGAGAGACGAGCATCGAGCAGAGCTTTTCCAGGCTCTCGTCTCTGACGGTGACGATCAGAGAGGACTCGGGCAGCAGGGCCTTCTTCAGCAGACTGCACATCAGGTCGGCCACAGGCCGCTTCTCTGTCCAGTTGTCACAGACGTTCAGGTCAGCATTTTCGGAGGCAACATCCAGGTCGTCAAAACCGTCGACCACAAACAAGAGCCTGTCTGGTTGGGACATGATGTTTGCCACGGGGACCTCAGAGTCTGGCCACTCCCTGGAAATTAACTCCGTGAAACTGCTTCTCCTCCTCCATGGTATGTCTCGGGCATCGAGGAAGAAGACGTAGGAGAACACACCCGGGTAGAGCTCCCCACGGGCCCAGTGCAGCAGGATTCTTCTGGCCAGAGCCGACTTCCCGACCCCCGGTGTTCCGTGCAGGACCACGGTGAGTGGCCGGAAGCCCTGCTGGTCTGGAGCGAAAGCACCAGACAACATTTGCATTTGTGGACAATCAGCGGCAAAGGTTTTGAAACTGTGGTGTACACCCAACACTGTGGCGAACCTTTTCTTCACATGATGTTTGTAGTTCTCTTTGTCACCTCCTTGGCCTACGTCAGACCGGAGAGGGCAGAAGAGAAACAGGAGACAAAGTTGGAAGACAGTCTGGATTTCAGACACTCTACACACAGGAGACTTTGTTGCTTCTCAGCAATGTATTATTGTGATTATTATTATTCCTCACTTGAGGATATATTTAAAAATATATATAAATTTCAGAGAGGAAGAGAGATGGAGAGAGAGATAGAAACATCAATGATGAGAGAGAATCATTGATTGGCTGTCTCCTGCACGCCCCCTACTGGGGATTGAGCCTGCAACCCAGGCATATGCCCTGACCAGGAATTGAATCCTTACCTCCTGGTTCATAGGTTGACGTTCAACCACTGAGCCACGCTGGTCAGCTAAAAAGATTTTTTTAAATTGATTTTGAGAGAAAGAAGAAGGGAGGGGAGAGAGAGGAAGAGAGAGAGAGAGAGAGAGAGAGAGAGAGAGAGAGAGAGAATATGAATGAACTAGAGTCCTTTACCTTGGTCTTTTGTCTTTGCTGCTGTGGTATCATCTTGTTTTATAACTTGTGACATTTCTGCAGAAAAGAGAGGGAAGAAGAATGAAATCCCACACACTTAGAGGTGAATTAACAAGGTCAGACCCACAGTATCCCCGAGATAGGGTCTGCAACGCCAGATTTCACCTTCTGACCCATCCGAAACCATGACTCAGCTGGAGAGGCACAGTGGACAGAAAACGAGCCTTAGGGTCAAGCTCAGAGGGTATGGGTTCTGGTCTCATTTCTGCTTTTTATTCTTTGGAGACCTTTGGGTAAGCTGTTAAAATGAGAAGTCAAACCCAGTGAGGGACATCCATGTGAGAGAGACACATCGATTGGTTGCATGAGCCCCAACTGGGGCCAGGGATCAAACCTGCAACCGAGGAATGTGCCCTTGACTGGGAAGCAAACCCAAGACCCTTTGGTGCCAGGGTTGAGGCTCTAACCACCAAAGAATAAACACTGGCCAGAGCATGGGTTCTTTCCCTTTTTCACTCTTTTGCTCAATCCCTCCACACCTCCAGCACCATCCCCACCAGAGCTGTTGGCCTGCTCTTTATCTATGAATCTGTCCAGATGGAAATTTTAAAAAAATATATATTTACTGATTTCAGAGAGGAAGGGAGATGGAGAGAGAGATAGAAACATCAATGATGAGAGAGAATCATTGATTGGCTGCCTCCTGCACACCCCCTACTGGGGATCGAGCCTGCAACCCAGGCATGTACCCTGGCTGGGAATTGAATCCTTACCTCCTGGTTCATAGGTTGATGTTCAACCACTGAGCCATGCTGGTCAGTTAAAAGATGTTTTTTTATTGATTTTGAGAGAAAGAAGAAGGGAGGGGGAGAGAGAGGAAGAGAGAGAGAGAGAGAGAGAGAGAGAGAGAGAGAGAGACTATGAATAAACTAGAGTTCTCTACCTTGGTCTTTTGTCTTTGCTGCTGTGGTATCATCTTGTTTTATTACTTGTGACATTTCTGCAGAAAAGAGAGGGAAGAAGAATGAAATCCCACACACTTAGAGGTGAATTAACAAGGTCAGACCCACAGTATCCCCGAGATAGGGTCTGCAACGCCAGATTTCACCTTCTGACCCATCCGAAACCATGACTCAGCTGGAGAGGCACAGTGGACAGAAAACGAGCCTTAGGGTCAAGCTCAGAGGGTATGGGTTCTGGTCTCATTTCTGCTTTTTATTCTTTGGAGACCTTTGGGTAAGCTGTTAAAATGAGAAGTCAAACCCAGTGAGGGACATCCATGTGAGAGAGACACATCGATTGGTTGCATGAGCCCCAACTGGGGCCAGGGATCAAACCTGCAACCGAGGAATGTGCCCTTGACTGGGAAGCAAACCCTAGACCCTTTGGTGCCAGGGTTGAGGCTGAACCACCAAGAAACACTGGCCAGGGCATGGGTTCTTTCCCTTTTTTCCCTCTTTTGCTCAATCCCTCCACGCCTCCAGCACCATCCCCACCTGAGCTATTGGCCTGCTCTTTATCTATGAATCTGTCCAGATGGAAATTTTTAAAAATATATATTTCTTTATTGATTTAAGAGAGGAAGGGAGTTGGAGAGAGAGATAGAAACATCAATGATGAGAGAGAATCATTGATTGGCTGCCTCCTGCACACCCCCTACTGGGGATTGAGCCCGCAACCTAGGCATGTGCCCTGGGCCGGAATCGAACCTGGGATCCTTCAGTCCGCAGGCTGACGCTCTATCCACTGAGTCAAGCTGGCTGGGGCTAGATGGAAATTTTTAAAAGATCATCTTGCTTATCACCGTGGGGAAAAGATTCCATGTAACCAGAGTAGAAACAGATTAGACATTCAAGTGAGATGATTCTGACATACAGGTTATGGTAAGAAATGTGTAGAAATATGTCCAGCCCAGCCAACTTGGCTCAGTGGTTGTGCATCGACCTATGAACCAGGAGGTCATGGTTCAGTTCCCAGTCAAGGGCACATGCCCAGGTTGTGGACTTGATCCCCAGTAGGGGGTATGCAGGAGGCAGCCAGTCATTTATTCTCTTTCATCATTGATGTTTCTCTCTTTCTCCTCCCCCCCTTCCTCTCTGAAATAAAAAAAAAAGAAAAAAGTCCTACTTCAGAGGTAGGTCTCATATGATTTTCTGATGAAGTAGGTAGAAGATAGAGAAAAGAGTCAATCAATCAGAAATAAACATCTCTATATATAAAAGCCTAATATGCTAAGTGTCCAACCGACTGGTCAACTCACCAGTCACTATGACATACACTGACCACCAGGGGGCAGATGCTCCAACTGGTAGGTTAGCTTGCTGCTGGGGTCCGGCCTATCGGGACTTGGTGAGATGGGGCCAGACACACCCTACAGCCCTTCTGCGGTCCCTCCCTGGTGACCAGCCCCAGTTGGGACTGGGTGAGATGTCCCTGATTGGCCCCGATTGCTTGCCAGGCAGAGGGACCCCACCTGTGTATGAATTTCGTGCACTGGGTCTCTAATACTAAAAATAATGACCAGGCTTCTGGTGTGAGCAGTGCAGAGGATGGCAGGGCCATGGACTGAGATAGGAAACCCTTGACCCAACACCCTGCACTGACCTGAAGGCTGGCCCATGCTTGTTCCTTGGTCAGTCTTCGGGGGTGTAAAATCTTGTAGTATTTCAGCCAGTGAACATTCTGCAACACAGAGCAGATGACAGAACAGTGGCCATAACGTCACAGCAATGGCCCTGGCCAGTGATTCAGTTTGGGTTAGAGCATCATCCCGATACGCCGATTGTTTGTGGGTTTGATCCCCAGTCAGGGCACATACAAGAGTCCACCACTGAGTGCAATAAGTGGAACAACAAATCTCTCTCTCTCAAATTAAGAAAAAATAATTTTTAAGTGCACTCTCTGTCCAAATGACTGAGGGGAACCAAGATGAGCCAGTTTACCCCATGACTAGCCTGTAATGGGGACAGTGGAGTCGGAGCCTCAAGTGCCACCATCACCAAGAAACAACAGATTTATGTGAAGGGTGCTCTGATTTTTAAAAAATGTTTTTATTGATTTTAGCGAGAGAGAGAGAGACATCAATGATGAGAGAGAATCATGGATCAGCTGCCTCCTGGACCCCCCACCCTCCCCCACACCTATGTAATACTTTCAATAATAAAGATTTTCTTTTTAAATGTGCAAGAGGGGAAACTATCCTGAGGTCTCAGTCTTTGTTGTTAATCCTCACACAAGGATTTTTTCCATTGGTTTTTAGAGAGAGCAGAAGGGAGAGAGGAAGGGAGAGGGAGAAAGGGTGGGCGGGAACATCAATGATGAGAGAGAATCAAGGATCAGCTGTCTTCTGCTCGCCTCCTACTGGGGATGGAGCCCCCACAACCCGCATGTGCCCTGACTAGGAATCAAACCGTGACCTCCTGGTTCCTAGGTTGACACTCAACCACTGAGCCACAGCGGCTGGGCGGCCTCACTCACTTTCCATCTCCTCCTTCGCCTTCTGAGAGAGCACTGGCAGGTTCATCTCGAGAAAGATGTCCATGGCCATGCTCCAGACCACCAGAGCCCGGCAGTGCTCATGCAGGAGGAAGGCCAGGTGCTGCGCATCTGCCCCAGCCACCTCCATCCACGGGAAGGAGCCCGGGACCAGCCCCGAAGCGCTTCCCATCAGCAACTCCTTGAACGTGTGGAACTCTTCCTTGTCCAGCTGCTGGAGACACCAGCGCAGTCCACAGTCGGAAAAGGGGGACACATTGGCTTCTCCCATTGCAACGCCAGGCGGAGGGCCCCCCTGTGTGGTTGGAGAAGATTTCCCTGGTTGCAGGGAGCAGATGGGACCTGGGGGTGGGGGGCGGGGCGGGAGAGTGACAAGATTCAAAGGAGAGTCGAGCATCACATGATCACATTCATTGCCATCCCTCCCGGCCCCCTCCCCTCCCCTCCGAGATCTGTCAGTCTATTCCATGCCTCCTGCTTCTGGTCCTGTCTTGTTCATCACTTTATTTCGTTCCTTAGATTCCACATATGAATGAGAATACTTGTCTTTCTCTGACTGGCTTATTTCACTTAGCACAATACTCTCCAGGTCCCTCCATACTGTTGCAAAAGGTAAGACTTCCTTTTTTTTTTTAAAGTAAAAATATTTTTATTGATTCCAGAGAGGAAGGGAGAGGGGGAGAGAGAGAAACATCAATAATGAGAGAGAATCATTGACCGGCTGCCTTCTGCATGACCCCCACTGGGGATCGAGCCCACAACTTGGGCATGTGCCCTGACCAGGAATCGAAATGTGACCTCCTGGTTCATAGGTTGATACTCAACCCCTGAGCCACACCTGCCGGGTTTCTCTCTCTCTCTTTACAGTCGAAAAGTATTTCATTGTGTACATGTGCTACAGCTTTTTTTACCCACTCATAAACAGTTGGGCTGTTTCTAGATCTTGGATCTTGTAAAGAATGCTTCACTCGAGCCAGTTTGGCTCAGTGGATAGAGCGTCGGCCTGCGGACTGAAGGGTCTGGGTTTGATTCCGGTCAAGGGCACATGCCTGGGTTGCGGGCTCGATCCCTAGTATGTGGGGTGCAGGAGGCAGCCAATCAATGATTCTCATCATTGATCTTTCTAGCTCTCTCTCCCTTTCCTTTTCTCTCTGGAATCAATAAAAACATTTTTTAAAAACGAGCAAAGGATTAAAAAAACAACTCTACCTGGATGTGGCTTCCATTTGTACTAGTTACAGAGTCATGAATGATAATGTTGCTCAATAAGAATTCCAAGTGCCAAGTTATCAAAAGCCAAAAATAGACCATAAAATTCTGGGGAAAATATTTTGGCTTTATTGAGCTGGCAGGTGCCGAGTCCAATATGCCAGCTGGCCAGCTCCCTAATGTTTGATGACCTACTACTTTGCTTTGGGCTGAGAAAAAGGTGCTCCTATATTTTGAGTAGACATATCAACTGGGGCCATGTCTGTGGAGGGCAGTTTGGCAAGAGCTATGCCCTCTAACTGCTAATATCGTTAGGCACAGGCTTGTTTGCAACGGCAACACCGAAGGCCGTTTGGGGTTGATCAAGAACAGGTGTGCTCCAATCAGGATGAGCACGTGCACCCCTATGTTCACTGCAGCATTATTTACAAGAGCCAATCAGTAGGTGAGAACAGCCCACGTGCCCATCAGTAGGTGAGTGCATAAAGAAGCTGTGGGACATTTACACCATGGGATACTATGCAGCTGTGAAAAAGAAGGATCTCTTACCCTTTGAGACAGCATGGAGGGACCTGGAGAGTATTATGTCAAGTGAAATAAGTCAGTCAGAGAAAGACAGGTATCACATGATCTCACCCATGTGTGAAACCTAGTGAACAAAGTGAGGAACAAAATAGGTCCAGAGGCATACTAGTAGAAGCATGGAACAGAGTGTAGAATCTCAGAGAGAAGGGGGGATGAGGCAGGAAGACATGGATACAGACAATAGTGTGGTGAAGGCCTGGGGAGGGGGCAGGAGTGGGAAGAGGGGGGCAAATGGGGGACATCTGTAATACTCTCAACAACAGCGAGACAGGTGTATCCATTCAAGCCCTGCATCCTCAATGCCCAACCGCCAGCGCAGAACAGTGCCTCCACCTGTAAGATATTAGTGCCCCACCCCAAACACACTATTTAGGGGTGATGAGCAGGACATGGATTGAGGGGGAAGGGTGAACCAAAGAACACATTTTGCTTCATACCTTCCCATAGTGTTTGCTTTCTCTAAACTATGAAAAGGCATCTCCCATGAAAGCATCATTTTAGTAGAAGCTGGTAGAAATGAGTGTTTTACTAAAGTGATTGAGCTGTTACTATTACCCATCTATGAGTGACAGAGACGGAGAGGAGAGACGGAGAGGAGAGACGGAGAGGAGAGACGGAGAGGAGAGACGGAGAGGAGAGACGGAGAGGAGAGACGGAGAGGAGAGACGGAGAGGAGAGACGGAGAGGAGAGACGGAGAGGAGAGACGGAGAGGAGAGACGGAGAGGAGAGACGGAGAGGAGAGACGGAGAGGAGAGACGGAGAGGAGGAGAAAACTAACAATGGACAGATGATAAAGTTTATGTGCTGGATTATTCAAAACAGAACCCTAGCAAAAAACGGAGAGAGACGGAGAGAGACGGAGAGAGACGGAGAGAACTACTAACAATGGACAGATGGTAAAGTTTGTGCTGGATTATTCAAAACAGAACCCTAGCAAAAAACTAAGCTTTTCTCCACATTCCCATGTAATATCTAGGAAAACTATCGATCCTATCGGTGGTTAGAGGGGAAAAAAATGACCCCACTTATTTCTAAGAACAAGTTGAAAAGGTTGCATCCTAATTCAGATTTCTTCGGTCAAAATTAAAATGATTTCCTCATTTTCCCAAACCTCTAACATAAAGGAACCTGGATACATGGAGATGGAAAGTACACACACAAAATCTCTCAACTGCTTGGTTGAGTGGTTAACGAGGAAGTTTATTTAAAAGAGAATGAATTTTGGGTGGTCACAAGGAAACACTTTCATACATACCCACAACTTGAAGGAAACATTTGAATTAAACATATAGCCCAGCCCTGGCTGGTTTGGCTCAGTGGATAGAGCATTGGCCTGTGGACTGAAGGGTCCCGGGTTTGATTCCGGTCAAGGGCATGCACCTCAGTTGCAGGCTCTTCCCTGGTCAGGGCTGGTGCAGGAGGCAACCAATTGATGTATTTATCTCACATCGATATTTCTTCTCTCTGTCCCCTCTCTCTTCCATTCACTCTAAAAATAAATGGAAGAATATCCTCAGGTGAGGATGAAAAAAATAAAATAAAAATCAATAAAAACATTTTTAAAAAGTCTATACGAAAAAAAAAATAGTGTCATTTGATACAATATGGATAGATCTTGAGAGTATCATGCTGAGTAAATAAGTCGGATGGAAAAGGACAAGAACCATATGGTTTCACTCATATGTGGGTATAAAACAAAGCAACAAACACAAAGACTCAGACACAGACAACAGCATATGAGAGGGGAAGAGGGCTGGAGGGTAAAGAGGGTCAAACATATGGTGATAGGAGACTTGACTTGGGGTGGTGAACACACAATATTTGGAGGATGCATTATGGAACTGTACACATGAGACCTATATACTTTTATTAACCAATGTCACCCCAATAACTCTACCGCTGAATGCTACATTATTAACCAATGCTATGCCAATACATTTAATTGAAAAAGAAAAAGAATCTATAAAAGCAGAACCAGCAAAGAAACAAAAACAAATAAATGCATGTTCTTGCCCAACCCCTCCTCAGGTGACAGACGGTATGCCACTCACGCTTTCTGTAAACTACCTCAATGTTGAGATATTATTGTCCTCCCTTGATGGAATTGAAGGCCAAAGTTCTGACGTGGTGAGTAGCTCACCGTGTTTCAGAGAAAAGCTACTGCTACCCCTCGTACAATACATCCCAGAAAAGGAAGTGGGACATGAAGCCCCAAAGACAGACAGACACCCACACGGGGTTAGAGCCCAGCTGGAAGAGTTGACTGGGGAGGGAAGGGGAGATGGTGTCCCAGCAAGAGGGTAGGCTAGAGGGGTGTGAATGAAGAGGGGTGGTCTGTGTCTATGAATTTTTTCTTTTCTTTTGAAATTTATTTTTATCGTTGAAAGTATTACAGATGTACTACCCCAACTTTCCTCTTTCCCCCCCTCATTGACCCCCTCCACCCGGCTCCCGTCTCCACCCCAGGTGAGCTTTTTTTTATTTGCTTAATCCCTCACAGACAACAGTAGGGTAATTCCCGGAGGGAAAGGGGGTTGGGGGGTAGGAAAAGGTTAAGGGGGGATTAATGGTGATGGCAGGAGACTTGGGGGTGGTGAACACACAATACACAGATGATGTGTAGAATTGTATTCCTGAAACCTACATAGTTTTATTAACCAATGTTGCCCCAACTAAAAAAAACCAAAAAACAAGCTGGGTGGTGAAGGCTATTTTCTGAGACTAAATGAGCAGACAAAAGGGAGAGGGAGAGAGGGCATGGCTCTCCTGCTCGTCTCCCTCCCCAACCCCCACATCGTCTCTCTCTCTATCCCCATGTCTCTCTCTCTCTCTCTCTCTCTCTCTCTCCCTCCCTCCCTCCCTACCCTCCCTCCCTGTCTGTCACTAATAGATGGGTAATGGTAACTGCTCAATCATTTTAGTAAAACCCATTTATTTCCACCAGCTTTCCCTAAAATGATGCTTTCACGGGAGATACCTTTCTGTATTTTAGAGCAAGCAAACACGATGGGGATGTATGTTTCTCGCCCCTGTGCCCCCCCCCAACTCCACTTGGCGCCCACCCTTTCTCTCCTCTCTGAGGACATCACAGGGTCTTCGGGGACCCCGCAGAGGCGGTTCCCATTACAGCGAGGTTTCGAAGGGGGTCCCACCCTCACCACCCGGTTACCTCACTTGGGACTCTGTTTCCTCACTGGACAGAGAGCTCCCACAGGGCGGGTGGCTGAGCCACAGTTCACGTGAGCACCACGAACACAGCAGCACCCCGACTCCCACCACCTCCGCTGACCTTGACCTTAAACCCCAGGACCCCAGCTCCGTCCTCAGGTTTAGACGCAGAGACTGGAAAGGGTGAGGCAGGTTCCTAAGGCCCCTAACGGGCGTTTTGCTTGAGAAACCGGACCTTTCGTTCTTTCTAAAGGTGGCTTTGGGCTCCGGAGAGTCTCAGTGGGGAGGGTGGGGACCCAGACGAAGGCTCAACAAGTAGGTTTGAACGTTTAACAGAGAAAGGAAGGTGCTGGAACAAGACCTGAGGAAGTACTCACCCACTTCACTCCTCACCTCCAGAGTCAAATCCCAACCAGCACCACCTGCAGAGGGTCTTTGGGGAATCCTGGGTGGTTACGTGGCCACAGGCCATTGGCTGCTTCGGGCTGGGAAGGGCGAGGCCCAGTGAATGAGCGGCACCTGCTCCCTGCCCCTGCGTGCACCTCCCCACCACACCTGTGCCCAGGGCCTCAGGGCGAGCACGGCCTTCACCTGCTTGTCCTGCAGCAATAATTGTGTGTGTGTGTGCACGCGTGTGTCCTTTAACTGACCTGGACATTTCACCTGGCATTTATTTTATTTTTTTAAAATATATTTTATTGATTTTTTACAGAGAGGAAGGGAGAGGGACAGAGTTAGAAACATCGATCAGTCGCCTCCTGCACACCCCCTCCTGGGGATGTGCCCACAACCAAGGCACATGCCCCCGACCGGAATCGAACCCGGGACCCTTCAGTCCACAGACCGACGCTCTATCCACCGAGCCAAACCGGTCAGGGCCTGGCATTTATTTTTATTAATTATCATTGTTATTCTTTAAAACATTTTGTTGATCTTAGAGAGAGGAAAGGAGAGGGATAGAGAGATAGAAACACCAATGAGCCCTAGTTTGGTTCAGTGGATAGAGCATCAGCCCTTGGATTGAAGGGCCCCGGGTTTGATTCCAGTCAAGGGCATGTACCTCGGTTGCAGGCTCCATTCCCCTTGTGTGGCGTGCGGGAGGCAACCAATCGATGTGTCTCTCTCACATTGATGTTTCTGTCTCTGTCTCTCCCCTCCCTTCTACTCTCTCTAAAATTTAATGGGAAAAATAGTCTCGGGTGAGGATTGACAAACAAACAATAAAAAACCCATCAATGAGAAACACCTATCAGCTGCCTCCTGCTCGCCCCACACTGGGGATCAAGCCTGCAACCTGGGCATGTGCCCTGACCAGGAATCTAACCATGACCTCCTGGTTCATAGGCCGACGCTCAACCACTGAGCCACACCGACTGGGCATATTATTATTATTATTATTATTATAAAATATTTTTATTGATTTCAGAAAGGAACGAAGAGGGAGAGATAGAGATCAAAACATCAATGATGAAAGAGAATCATTGCACGCCCTCCTCTGGGGATCAAGCCCGCAACCCAGGCACGTGCCCTTGATTGGAATCAAACCCAGGACCCTCCAGTCCACAGGCCTACACTCTATCCACTCAGCCAAATTGGCCAGGGCACATATTATTTTTTATCCTCACCTGAGGATGTTTTTATTGATATTTTAGAGAGAGGGGGAGGGAGAGGAGAAAGAGAGAGAGAGATAGAGAGAGAGAAACATCTATCTGTTGCCTCCTGTACGTGCCCCAACCAGGGATTGAACCTGAAACCCAGGTATGTGTCCCCATGGGAAACTGAACCCACGACCCTTTGGTGTATGGGACGATGCTCAACCAACCGAGCCATCCAACCAGGGCTCAGCTGGCGCTTATTGATCTCTATCTAAGGACGCTGTTGTTCAATCGGCCTTCTCCACGAGACTCTCACCTGGGTTCCCCGTGACCTCGGAGTAGTCATGCAATAAATATTCTCCAACATTCTACAGGGCCCACCTGGGGCAGCAGAAATGCCAGCAGCCTCGTGCCTCCATTCTCCCATTCCTGCTTCTCTCACAGTCTGGCTTTCCTCCCTTGCCCTCAGCTTGACTGAGATAGAACTTGCATCCCCGTTTAGGTTCATCTTGATGTGATACAGTCATATGTTGTGAAAGGTAACGCTAACTCCCACGAGTCCTCCCCAAACCTCACCGTAGCTTAGACTCACCTGGGGGAACTTTTCAAATCCCAATGGTCAGGATGTCTGGGGTGGGAGCCAGGATACCGTTGCACTTTTATTGATTTTAAAGAGAGAGAGAAAGGGAGATGGGGAGAGAGAGAGAGAGAGAGAGAGGGAAACATTGATTCATTGTTTCACTTACCGATGCACTCATTGGTTGTTTCTTGCATGTGCTCTGACCAGGGTTCAAATTCAAAACCTTGATGTATCGGTCAGCGCTAACCAGCTGAGCCACCTGGCCAAGGCTCATATGCACTTTAAAAAAAAATCCTCACCAGAGGGTATTTTTCCATTTATTTTTTAGAAAGTGGAAGAGAAAGGAAAGACAGAAATATCGACATGAGAGAAACACATTGATTGGTTGCCTCCTGCATGCGCCCTGACCAGGGCCTGGGCCAGGGAGGAGTGTGCAACTGAAGTACGTGCCTTTGACAGGAATCGAACCCGGGACCCCTCAGTCTGCTGGCCAGTGCTCTATCCACTGGGAAATACCGGCCAGGCCCCTATGCACTTTTGAAGGTCCCCATGTCATTCAATGTGCCACCAAGACCGAAGAGCACTGTCCTCCCAGCCCTGCTCTTCCCAAGGCATGTGTCCTCATTGCTGTAGGAAAGGGGGCATCTCCTAGACCGTTTGGGGGAGCACCTCAGTGGGTGGGGTCTCTGGCTTCATGGGGCCCACCTCTGAGCCCATTGACCCCAGCAAGGCCTTCATTTACAAGGCAGGGGAGGGGGATCTCTTAGTGAGGCATCGGATTGGCTCTAGCTGTTAAATTCTTGGCTCTGGAGAACAGACTAAAGCATATTGGCAACAGAGCTTGACTTTGGGTGGGCCTTTTAAAAAAATATATATTTTTATTGATTTCAGAGAGGAAGGGAGAGGGAGAGCGAGATAGAAATATCAACGATGAGAGAGAATCATTGATTGGCTGCCTCCTGCATGCCCCCTACTGGGGATCGAGCCCAAAACCTGGGCATGTGCCCTTGACTGGAATTGAACCTGGGACCCTTCAGTCCGCAGACCGACACTCTATCCACTGAGCCAAACCAGCTAGGGTTTTCTTTTTGTCTACTCTTCAGAATGGGGTGGTGGGTCACCTGAAATTCATAGAACATGGTATTGAATGTTCACTGTAATTGAAAAGTAAAATACATATATACATACAAACAATTATTGCTCTGGCCGGTGTGGCTCGGTTGGAGTGTCACCCTGTGTACACCAAAGGGTTGCAGGTTTAATCCCCCATCAGTGCACAGACCTGGGTTTCAGGTTCTATCCCTGTGGTTGGGTCACATGCCCAGGTTGTGGGCTCGATCCCCAGTAGGGGGCATGCAGGAGGCAGCCCATTGATGTTGCTTGCTTTCTCTCCCTCTCCCTTCCTTTCTCTCCAAAATTTAAAATAAATAAATAAAAGTAAATATATATATATTTTAAAAAGAGGCCTGGCCAGTTTTTCTCAGTGGTTAGAGCATCAACTCAAGGACCAAAGGGGTCTTGGGTTCGACTCTGGTCAAGGGCACGCTGCAGGAAGCAACCAACCAAATGTGTCTCTCTCACATGGATGTTCCCCCCTCTCTCTTTCTCGCCCCCCCCCACTCCCCTGCCTTTCCTCCTTCTACTCTTTAAAAACCAATGGAAAAAATATCCTCACGCGAGGATTAACAACAACAACAACAAAGAAATTAACGTCTCTCTCTGTGTCTCTGAAATAAACAAGTTTATGAGAAAGATAAAAAGAAAAAAGAACCAGACAAGGGCAGCGGGGAGGGCTCACCTCCGGACACTGCGCTGTCTCCCTGGGAAATGTCCTCCTTTTAACAGCGGACGGACCGTCTCCGGGGGAATAAAGGGCACTCAGACAAGTTTGCAAATTTCATTCGTGTACAAGTTTAATTCAATACTCGTGTACAAATTCAATTAAATATTCGTGTACAAATTTAAATACTCGTGTACAAGTTTAATCAAATACTCGCGTACACATTTAATCAAATACTCGCGTACAAGTTTAATTAAATACTTGTCACAAGTTTAAATACTCGTGTACAAATTTAATTAAATACTGGTGTACAAATTTAATTAAATACTCGTGTACAAATTCAGTGAAATACTCGTGTACAAATTCAGTAAAATACTCGTGTACAAATTTAATTAAATACTGGCATACAAATTCAATTAAATACTCGTGTACAAGTTTAATTAAATAATCTAAAAAGTGAGCCCGCCGTTCCCCACAGCCCAGCTAACGGGACGTACCCAAAGGCATAGGTGCAGGGAGCCCGTGGGCTGGACCCTCCTCCTGGGATGGCCCCGTCTAACATCCAACCCGCCCGCTTCAGTACCTCCCAGGGCGCCTGTGGGGGTCATGCCCGCCCCACACCGGACTGAGCGATTCCAGACTCAGAAGGGCCCACAGAACACGAATCCGCGCCCCCTCCCATTTCCCATTGGGGAAGCCACCCCCTACTTCCCATCAGGGCGTCGGGGGACCCCCCAATCAGCGCGGCCTCTGTGACGCCCTCGCGTCCCAGTCCTGCAGGATCCTCAGCACCTTGTTGTTCACCCGGGGCCCCTCCAGCCTGAGCGCCACGTTCACATGGCAACTCTGCTTCCTCTCCCTGCGAAGGAAAGAAACCGCGCTCTCGTCCGTCTGTCTGTCCTGGAAGGGCAGGCACAGCCGGAGGGAGACCCCTGTAGAAGTGAGACCCAGGGAGACCCCGTGGTCTGTCCCGAGCAGAGGGGATGCGCCCAGGAGCTGGGGGGAGGGGGACACACCCATGCCTGGGTCCACACACCGCTTTTCAGGGCTAGCAGGCAGCCCTCCAAACGGCCCCTAAGGATCCTTCCTCTGAATACACACTCTTGTGTGGTACCCTGGCTCACTGACCCATAGAACAGGGCAAACGAAGAAGAGGAGGAGAAGGGGGAAAAGAACAAGAAGAAAGGAGAAGGAAGAGAAGGAGGAGGAGGAGGTGAAGGAGGAGGAGGAGGGGAAGGAGGAGAGGAAGGAGGAGGAGGAGGAGGAGGGGAAGGAGGAGGAAAAGGAGGAGGAGGAGGAGGAGGAGAAGAAGAAGAAGAAGAAGAAGAAGAAGAAGAAGA